CCCTCTTTTTCTCTGTGTGCTGGTCTCAGATACTCTCTTCATTTGAGAGTGCTGGAAGCCTGCCTGGGGTGGAAAAATCTATAAGCCATTGCGTAATATAGCATATCTTTACCTTGGTTGAACCCTGCGAGACCCACAGCTGTGAGCACACAGACAGAAAAATAAATGCAGTGTGTGAGAGAATGAGTGAGTCCAAGAGGCCCAGACCTTTTTCTCACATTTGAACAGAATCGCTCAGTTTTGAGTGGGAGGGCAACATTTTGTTTTATTGTGTAAAAAATCATTGTGTTTTGTCCACGTACTCCAGTGAAATGGATGAGGAGGATTTGAAGGCCACAAAAACAAACACAAAAGCACAAAGCTAACCAAAATCAGCATTTCAGTTTTTGCCAGTCTAAATATAAAACTATAGTTTTTTTAACATTTACTGCATCGATTCTGTGTTAAAACACACTCTTAAAACTTTTTTTGACATTTGGCTAGGAGTAGAAACATCAAACTTTGATTTAAGCTGTGCAGCTGTGAGAAGTAAATAGATTCAGTTCACAGGGCGGGGAAGTATTACAACAGAACCTCACATGTCTCTGTGTATGGACCTGTGTGAGGCTGATATGTATGTGTGTTGATGTAGAGAGATGTCTGAACATTGTTGTACAGGTGGCAGGGTCCAGGCCTAAAGGGTAGTACACACACACACACACACACACACACACACAGGCCTAATTATGCTGTTTAAAATTCTTGTGGTCCTCCCTCGGCTTGTGGCAAGTTAACTCGTACAAGGGTGTCCAGCTATGAGAGACGAAGGGACACGGAGAAGCGATGAGAAATTAAAGATAATTATTAAGAGAAGTGCTGAGAAAGAAATTCATGGCATTTTAAAAACAGTTCAGAGAAGAAAGTGGGAAAGGTTTGAAGACCGTAACAAGGCTGCTTCTGAGAAAACAATGTTTCCCCTGACACCAAGGAAACAGAGGAAAAACATACACAGATGTCAAAATGCCCATCAGTTTTTATTCCCTCTTACTTTGTGTCTAAGACTGTGCTCACAATGTATATTTATTTTTACGTTCAGATGTTATGGATGGCTCTGGGAAAAGCCAGAACTTTTCCCATCCACAGGAACTAATAGTGCTTGATTGTTCTCTCTTGGGTCTAAAAGAAGACATTTTCCAAGGGTGTTTGGGTGACTTCAGAGTAATAACCTCATTGAGGCAAAATAAACAAAGTGGACGTGATTAAGAAGTGACCTTTGACATCTGTTAGAATGTGTCTGGATGTGTGTTTGCACCCGATCCAGTTTTTCATGCAAATGTGCAGTTGAGGCGATAAAAATACAGAACGTTTGTGAGTTCATAGTCCCTGCAGACCAACTGTGTTGTCAAGGCAATAATAAACCAAACACAAAAGAGGACGGTTTGGAGTTCCATTCCTACGGTGCGATGTAACTCGATGTTATGCTGTTAGGGTTAGGGTGAGAGTACCTGGAGAGATGGGGGTTATAGAGGAATGAAGGTCAGCAGGAGCAAGACACAATGCTGCAAGGAGACGAGGTAGTAAAAGTGGAGACGGTCAAGTACCTCCGTCAACTGTCCAGAGTATGGAGTACTGAAGAAGAGGAGTGTGAAGAACGAGGTGTAGGCAGGGTGGAATGGACGGTTATGAATGACAGAAGAAGAACGGCCACATTGAAAGAGAAAGATTTAATAGTGGTGTGTAGATGTGTGAGGATTAAAGTGAGTGAACACCGTACAGGTTACAGAGGGGTTTTAAAAAATGTATTTATTTAAGGATTTACTTCTTCCCGTCATTGTTCTTATCACTCCAGGAACACACTTTTATCTAAATATTGCCAAGTAGGTGTTAATTGTTAGGGGAAATGACACAAACAAACATCCGCAGTAGTAGCATCACAGAATTTCCAGCAAATCCTTCCTTGTGCGCTGATGTGTTTGTGAATGTGTGCAGATTTGTAAAATGCTGCCTTGCTCCTGCGTGTGTGTGTGTGTGTGTGTGTGAGAGAGAGAGAGTTTCATTCCTGAGAGCCAAAAAGCCTCAGCAGCATCTGACGTGGCAGCTCCTGCTGCTATCAGTCCATCTCCCTACATTTGGCTCACGTTTCTGTGATACTATCTTCCACTACAATCGCTTGTTTATAAATGGAGACCATGCAGTTTGTGCTGACAGTTGAGAAAACACAGCATCATTTGCTGCACAATACAGCCGTGAATATTTATTACAGAAAACAAGTGAATTAATCGTACGTTTCCACTTGAACTCCAGTTCGTCTTTGTAGTACTTAGAATTAGAAGAACAATATTTTCAATAACGTAATAACGTCATCCAGATGTTTAGCTCCTGTATGGTACATCAGGACCACCTCTACAAATCTCAGAAAACTATTACAAATAATTAAATGGAAATCATTTACATGCTATACCTTTTAAGGTTTCATTTTAACAAAGCAGTTTTATTTTTCAACATTGCAGTCCTAATTCATTCGTTTTTATGTGCAGTTTTTTATGGAGGTGGGCTTCCTTCGTTTTATGTCCCCTCTGAGAACATGTAGTTATGGCTGTCTGCCTGTGGTGCTGCGGTGCTCCTGCGGTCTGACTGAGGTAGTCGTTTTGGCCGGGGAGCTCTGTGAGTGTGGTGACCGAGAAGATAAGTGCACACACTCTCTTAGAGGCGCCCTTCTGCCTCACGTGTCGGTCCATCTGTCTCCCCTCCCACAACACAAGTGTCATATTCCTACTCTTTTTTTAAAAAAACACGTGAGAAAATAAAAGTTTCTAAATACATTGGATGTCCTCGCCCGTGTTTATATTTGTGTGTGTGTGTGTGTGTGTGTATGGGGGTATCTTTGTTATTTGCTGAGCATATGTTTCACATGTCCTCTGTCTCTTTTGTCCTAGCATCGCATTTTCTCTGCAGGGAAGGCTAGTCAAAAAGGGCCGGGCAACCTTTAGCCGACGTAGAATCAAAAGCTGGAGACCATCCTGTTAATCTGACCGTGTCAGGCAGAGCAGAGATTAGAACCCAGGTCTCATAAGCCATTTGGAACAAACACCTTTTAACCCTAATGGGATCAGAGTTTCATAGGAAGGCACTTGGAGAAGCCACCCACTCTTAAACCCTAACACTTCCAGCTCAGCACAGGCAAAGGCCCGGCCGTATCATGCTACAGGGAGCAGGCGCTATTTAACCCTCACAGCACCAACTGAGCACAGGCAAAGGTCCAGCTCAAATGATAAGCAGAATTAAATCCAGGAGCTTGAGTGTCCCTGACAGTGAGCTGCATGGGAGATGGGAGAGTACATGGGTGACTGTCGGAGGTGAAGCCGTTAAAGCAGCACAATCAAGAGACGGGGCTCGTTGGAGTGCCAGGCAAACGCTGACAACGCAGGGAAATGGGCGAAGGTATTCAAGAGAAGAGAGTGTAAGACGTTGAAGAGAGAAATAAAGAAGTGGAACACTAGGTGATGGTGGGGGTGGGGAGTACAGAATAAATGCAATAGCTAGGCTTGTTGTTGAGCATTTGCAGAAAGGGTGAGGGCACTCTGCCCAGCCTTGGGGAGAGGTTGGCACCTCGCCTTGCCGACTGGCAGAACGGAGAAAGAAAAGAATGAGGGAGGATTGAAAGACAGACAGGGAGAGAGTAAGAGAGTGAGTGAGAGAGAGAGAGAGAGCGAGAGAGAAGTCTCAATAGTGCTTCTCTTGTGTGAGGAGAAGCAGGCCTTGGCTGCTGCTGGAGCCGAGCATGGAGGGGTGGGGATATCACGTTTCATTATCTGCTTGATTCCTGCCGTATTTGTGAAGCATGTGGTACAAAGCTCCTGCCGCAGCTGTATGCTGGGCAACCAGAGCCTGTGTGTGCCACTGGCATGTGCTGACTGGAACGCTGGAGATGTTTGCAGTGAGAGCTTTGGTTAGGAGTAAGAAGGGTGAGACGGCCTGCTCTTACTCTGCTGCAGAACGCTGCCTTCACTTTTGTAGCTCACGGTCCCTAACTACAGTATGTGTCTTTTTGTGATTGCACCCAAACAGGTGCAATCACAAAAACACACGTGTGTGCAACTGTT